TTACCAATCCACACAACAAAAATAAACAAAACCTTACATTTTCCTTTTGAGGTCTTAATCCAATCAGCCATTAGTAAACTCAGCCTAACCACTAAAGTCAACTGTATCTATGAAATGCACATGGAGAAGGGGAAAAAAATCTATTTTTCTTTGTTCTGGTTTCTAATGGAATCTCCAGAAATGTATTACAATGAAAAGCTGAAACTGCCTAAAACATAAGCCTTTCACAGCTCATTTCCTTTCCTTCTGTCTCCACAATGAACTATCATCTAAACTTCAAATACAACCTACTTTTTAATGGCTTATCCACTCCTATCTTCTCTAGTGCTCCATAACATCCAAAATTTTACTATTAAAGTAATTCACAAATCAGAATCCATCTGACTTATTATGGAAAGGAATAAGGCACAAAATGCTACCAAAGACGGCCCTTTTCATTTCAACACTAAATTATATTTAGCAAGGAAAACTGCAATGCTCCAACCTGACAATACAATATAAATTTTATTAACATTGAATTCTGAAAACTAAGCAACACTTATTCAAAAATGTTAATTAAATTTAAAAATCCATAATAATCCAGGTGGTCTCTTCTTTATTTATTTTCTTACACCCTAAATGTACGCATTTCTCCTTCTCTCCCCTAAAACCTCTAAGGGAATGGGGAAAAAAAAAAGTAGCAGCTTATACATGTGCACATGATATAAACAAATCCTAAGAGGCAGAGCTATCATTCCTAGGAGCAAGAAAAACATACAGAATCACAGTCCTTAGAGCCTGAAGACTTTAAATCATCCTCATTTTGACAGTTTGGAATGAATCCTTCCTTTCCTCCTTCAACACTCAGTTTAGGTGTGGTACCTCTCTGATTCCACCCATTTACTAGTACTCCTTCCCTATTTAACTTGCATTAAGCTCTCCCTTTCTGTCTACATAATGTATGGCCCAAGTACATAGAAAGGTCCTAGAGAGCAAAGAATCCTTCATTTGTCTTTTCATTCCAAGTATCTACTGCCATGCATGTAAAAGGTACTTAATACATGTTTGTCAAATGGAACCTTCATGATTTTACAGAAGAGAAAACTGAAGCCCAGAGAAGTTAAGTGATCATCTTGGATCACACACAGTTAAGTACTGAAGCCAGGATTAGAGCCCAGGTCACCAGACTCTAAATACAAGGCTCTCTCCTGAGTCCCCTAGAAATCATAATGCTAAATTCATTCTAACTGAGCTGTGCCATTTCTAGGCACAGTGAAAATCAGAACCGCCCAGTCAATTAGGCAAGCATTTACTAAGTGCTACTCTAGCTATTAAGAGCCTCTTTGGATTCAGAATACCTAAATGCCTCAAAGAGTTCATGGTTTTAGAAAAGTTCGGACCCCTTTGTACTAGCGCAGGACATCACCATTTTATACTTTAGTGCATGATCTTCATGAATTATATGGCTAAAAAAATTCACATCTGGTAAACAACTTGTGGTAAATTTAACTAGGTTTATCATCAAACAATGTGCTACGTGCTAGATGGTTACGCAACAAAATACATTTAAGAAAACTTATAAACTGGACTCTATATATAATACATGCATATGATTTCCTGATTGTCCTGGTGTCTTCCATCTTGAGAAAATGGACTACCTAAATCAGAGATTGTTTTTGACCTCTCAATGAGTATTTAAATAAAGGTTTATATACATAAATAATTAAGTTCATTTCACACATTCATATGTGGCAAAAGAATAACAATTAAAAAAAGGATACAATGAATAACGTATTTAGTTGTTTTTCAACTGTATTACAGTTGAAAGACAGTAAGACATAAGAGTCAGAGGATTAGTCCTGGTGTAAGCAAAACCTGGGCTCCAGCCCTCCCCTGGACACAAATGAGGTCTCTGGATAGTCCAGGTATGGACAAACCACATAATCTCCCAGAAACCCTGGGCAGCTCTTTAAGACTATTACTGATTAGTTTCAGGTCTTCATTAGGAAGGGGAGCTCTCCCAGTGAGGACTAAAATCAACATCACCACTTCACCAAAATTAAAGGAAAATGGTTCATACTTTATAGGCTTAATAAAAATGTGAATGTTTTATAATGAAATGCTGAATGTAAGAGTTTATGGTAATCCTCATTTAAAGAAAAAAATAAACATGAGTGTTCTTTAATTAAATCACCTTATTGCTTTACACATATAAGCTCAATAAAATATCACTGAATGACTCACCAGATGAATGTTTATGAATTTCACTATTTAAAGGTAGGTACCATTTTAACTCTTTCTCCATAACCCTACAACTAGCACAGTGCCTTGCTCACTGTATTTGTTGTAACATGTTTTTAATTGTTTATGGTAAATTTCACCTTCACATGCATTTTAAGTGTCATGGCACTTCTAGCTTTACATGATTATTACAGTTTTCCATCATATTCTTACTAAAGCTATCACTGTTTTTAAAAGGAATCTTTACCATACAATTCTATTTATTTCATTTTATATGTATTTTAAATTTTTTATAATTATGAATTATTTTTATTATTTTTATTTATTACTTACAATATCATTTTCATCTTTGACTAAATTCTAATATATATTAGGATATACAATATATATTTGCAATAACTAATACTGCCCACTAGTAAATACGTATATCCAAGACAATTATGTTTAGGAAATTGATTGAATAAAAGCCACAAAGTAAAAAAGATTTAGCTCTGGATTAGTTAGCAACAGTAAAATGAGAGAATGTTCAATTCTGTCTTCAACCCATACTAGTTATGTGACCCCTGAAAACTAATTTAACCTATCATCTGAAAAACAGGAAAAAAATCCCTGCCTTACTCATAATGTTGTTTTGAAGCTCCAATGACCTAATATACACACGAAAAGTCTCCTGGTAAACTACTACACAAATTATATAATTAAAATTACTTTTAAAACTGTTTTCTAAAGCATTTATGTTTGCAGAGGCACACAGAGGAGGAGAAAACATCTGAAAGTTTAAAAAACTTATCTATCAATGAACCCAAGAGTAACTAAAAAATGACTAGTACAGAGATTACTACAGGATCTTACACACTGCAGGCATTTGATGAAAGTCTAATTGAACTAAATCAGAAGCAGTATTATAATGAGGGACAGCCAAAGACCATAATATTCTGCAAAACAGTTAACAATAGCTTCTATTCAGACAGATAGAAAGATATGCACATACATATATATGCATCTATATATAAAACGTAGCTTCTAGTATAAGCATTATAATCTTCATTTTACAACTGAGAAAAACAGAAGTTTAGAGAGAGAAGATGAAATCCTCATAAGATGGTTAGTAAATGTCAGAGCCAGAAATACAACCCTGATATTAGGACCATGAATACAATGATGATATTATGTTAATTCTAGTACTGCTCTTTACTGAAAAAGGACAAGAGATCATTGGGAAGGGTAGAATAGCAAGAAATATAGCCCAAGTTTACCAAATAGCCTCTACCCTCCACAAAGATTTAGAAAACTTGTCAGATCGATTCATATCAGAAAAGACAAGAAAAAGTTGCACTGAGTAATTTTTGAATATCAGGATGGCTTAAGGAGACAGGCAGAAAGTTCTACAAGCACTAGGATAGTGTCTGGCCCAGAGCCCATGTGCATCCAGGGAAGGAAATAGAGCCAAGACTAGGCACAAGGGCAGAAAGCCCTTATGTAGGAAAAAAATCCCAGAGGATTCCTGAGCCAGGGTAAGAGTGCAGGAATAGGTCCCATCTGGCAGCTCTATCATTTACTATCCAGTTACAGTTTGAATTGAGGATGGAGGGATCTGCAAATAAGGGTCATCGAGAGCAACAATCATTAGAGGATCTTAGCTTTGTACTGAAATGAACAAGTTTGGAAGCAAACAGCAGATTGTGGCACTTATCCCAAGAAGCAGAGTAAGAACTTGGTTCTGGTCTCCAGCCCTGAGTAAATGTCTGTAGTGGAATAACTTGGCAAGAGTCTGTGAGAAATTATCTACAAAGACCTATGTGTTCCCTGATGCTCACTTGCAGTAAGATTTTAGAGAGCTTAGAAAGTAGGGTCGGTAGCAGTACTTTTTTACACATGGTAAAACCTGAGATCTTTCTCATTATTTTAGAATCCTCTCCTCTTTGAAATATCCAAAGAAAACCAATATAGCTATTTATCCTAACTCTACCTTCTTAACCACCATGGCTATACTTCCTCACATATGTTAAGTGTTTATACAAGTATACGTCCATACACTTTTTTAAAAAATGATTTTAAGAGGTCATATGGATGTGATCTACCATTCTTAAAATTATCACAGTAAAATAACAAAGTTCTTTTAGGTGTAATAGATTTCTCCTTCCCCTCCACAAACAGAATACAGAATTTTCCCCAAAAAATTTCCTCCAAAATAAAACAGAGGGAAAACGTTTCTTCTTCCATGGCTTCTAAGCAAGGATTAGTTGAAAGAATGCTGCTTTTTGAGACAAAGGATGAAAGTTTGAATCTTAGCTCTACTATTTGTTAGCTTATGGCTTTAGACAGATGATTTTTACCTTTCTGAATCTGTTTCCTTGCCTATAAAACAATAATATTTTTTGATATTACTATCCATCTCATGAGGCTGCTATTAGGACAGCATTCTTAAAGCACTACAGAAATATGAGATAGTAATATTATAATATCATCACTCATTATTATAACTAATGGGGAAAACCCTCAACTACTGAATTCTAGTGCTGTCTCTGGCTCAACGTGATCTTCAGTTATTTTACCTAGCTGAGCATCAGTTTCTACATTCAAAAAATGAGGAGGTCTAGAAGATTTCTGAGGTCCCTTCCAGCTCTAAAATTCTATCATGCTATGAGTGATTTCAGGAAATTTATAACTGTAAGGGAATGAGGAGAGAACCAACGAAAGGATAAGTGAAATGCCAGGCTGAAGAAGAGACCAATCAGGAAAAAACAATCCCTCCCAAATTTTATCTCCCATATACTTACCTTTGTAACTTCTTTCACCACTTGCAGATCTGGACATTGGAAAGCACACATCTGGAGGATGAAGCAAAGAAGCAGAAACTGAGGGGTGAGCCATGGCACTAGCCAGACACACCAGGGGTGCCCCTGATTTAACATGTAACAAAGATGACATTGGAACACTAGTATAAAACTCCAAACACATGGGTTGGGAAGGTATTTACCAAAACTTTATAAATTATAGGATTCTAGTTTTTGGAAAAAATAATTAAATGACCTTATAAAGATCTCAATGTACAGTTTCCTCATTATAACTGCTCAACTTTTCTGCTACTCCAAATTTCTATAACCACCTCCATGGCAAAAGTGTTTAGTAGAGAAAGGGCAAACCTGACAAATGCTCAAGTACACAATGCCCTGGCTCTCCTCATTCATTCATTTATTCATCAAACTTTTATTAAGCTCCTGCTATACGTAAAGACAATGTCACTTATCAAGGTCCCTGTAGAGGGCACTCCTAATTCCACAGAAGTTTAACTTCTCAGCTCCCTGCCAATTCTGAGATCCTGTAATTTTGTAACTTGGTTTTATCACATATCCTATAAAACCTGAAATTTTATTGTTCAACATAATTTTAACATATTCTTCATAACTCACAGGCATAGAAAATACATACTATACACTTTCAGATTTGTAACTATATTAGAAAATCAAATGATGACTTAACTCCTTTGTTAACTGAAGATCCCATTGAAGGAAACAGTTTAAGTCATTTAAAGGTTAATTATCTTCTATTAGTTATCATAAATAATCTTTAGATATCATTAAAGATAGTATTTAAACATATTGCTTTATACAAGCAAACATTTTAATTTATTACTTCAGTTATAAATATGAAATGTGTTTATAAAAAGAAATAATTCCAGTGAGTTCAACAGAAACTTAAAACTTTTGGGGAGGTGGGGGTGGTAAATCCATCCTTACTCAGATCTAGCCCATCCCAAATAATCTTTTTTTCGTTTACTTGACTTTTACTTCAATTTTTTTTTTATTTTAGAGACAGGTAAACCGCATGACTCAATATATATAAAATATCACAGAGCTAATAATGCTAATCATATTTCTCTGGTCTCAACCTAATTATTTAAAATGAATGAACTTCTACAAAAATACAACTTGAGAACTGGGGGTGAGCCATGCATAGTACTAGTCAGACACAACATGCAGCATGGATGACAATAAAGTACTAATATAAAACTCAAATGAATGAATTGAAAATTAAACATCATACTAACAATTAAGTGCATCTTCTAACTTCTAAATGTGTGGCACAGAATTAGTTTATAGTCACATTTGCAGCCACCATGAACAATTAACTAAAAGAGTCACACCACCGTAACAGACCTTGTACATTACATAGAGTAAATGATATATTAACAGAGAAATCTGAATTCTCATAAAACTGCAGGTAGCAATAGTGCCACAGAGCTAGCACTTAATTATCAATATTCTGAATGACATACTACCTACCAATGGTAAGAATCTTACTTTTCATCTTCACAGATGACCCTATAACACACTTCAACTCTACTTATTTCCTAATTATCCCTTCTAATTCTCAGGAAAGATTTTATCATCAAGGCTACTACGCTCATTAAAGTTTTCTGAATTTGAATATCATCTTTAAGGAAATAGCTAATCAAGTTTTCTCTGCACTGTTCCATCATCTCTCCCCCTGCCCATTTTCTGTAAGTTCTATGGCTCTCACTTTCATGGATTCACATTACATGATATTTTCCAAAATTTTCTAAATGGATAAATGTTCTCAATAAATAAGTGAACAGATAAATAACTGGTTTCTTAATGTTAGGTCCTAATCACTGAATTTTTACTAGAAACTTGTTATGTCTCTATAGTTTGTCTTCTATTTTCCTCCTTTCCTTGCTTTATTTGTCATTTTGTCTTTACTTTTCTTACAATATGTTAAAACAGGTATTTATTTTCTGTTCACTTAAACCTTCTCTCCCAGGACAGTCATAATCATACTGTGAGCTTCCACAATTTATTTCACTAAAATGACTCCCAAATTCATGTTTCTAATTCACTTCTAGGTTATGATATGATATTTCTAATAGTTACCAACCTCACTGGCATTTCAAATTCAAAATATCTAGGATCAAGTTTCTCTTTCTCCTTAAAACTACTCTCTTATCCTAAAATTTTCTAACACAACATTCACACAGGAGTTCACATTATTAACACTAGGATAAGCTAAGGTTCTACATGGGAAATAGGCTTAGGAGAAATGAGAAGCTCTCAAGAATGAAATTCTAAGGAAATAAAGAGAAATAATGTCCATAAGGAGAAAAATGGGCATTTATCTAAAGAGACCAATATGGATACATAGGGATCTCATCAACCAACATATATAAAAACAAAACAAAACAAAACAAAACAAAAAACTTGTGCAGAAAACACAGGCAAGACAGGTAACAAAAAAAAGCATATAAAAGTGTGGCACACTGCTATAATTACAATGTTAGAGCCACTAAAACTCAGAATGAGCTTAGTGACACAATAAATATAACTATAAAATATATATAATACATATAAATATACAAAAATGAAATAAATTAGAAACTTTTTTTAAAAAGGGGCAGGTGGGCAACGTTGGGGATTTTTGTTTGTTTTACCAGGGTAAGAAGAGAATCAAAACTGCTCCTCAGGCTGAATGGCTCAATGATATCTGATGTCTTTGAAAACTCAAGACATAGAGAAGGCAGAGCTATTCAACTTATTTTCTGATGTTTTCTCTGAAAGGAGAATGATCTATAGACTGAACAAAGAGTTCATCAAAAGTTGAAGGAGCCAGTAAAGGAAATAATAAAGGAGCCCCCTAGTTGTCCTGGACGAATTCAATTCACAAGTTCTAGATGAGCCACACTTCTAGATTTGGAAAAATTGCTGATTGTGACTGTTGAGTCACTATCAGCAACCTTTTAAAAATAATGGAGAGCAAGAGAATTTCAGGACTGAAATGAGCAAATAATTGCAATTTTCCAAAAACAAAAAACTGTATTCAGCAAATTATACATCAGTGAACTTGTGTTAGATTGCTGGCCACACTTCATAACCTATTATTATTAAAAGGATGGCTAGTGAATATGAAAAAAAGGAAGTAGTGATCAAAAGCGCCAGCATGGCTCTGGCCAGAAAAGGTAATGCCAGACTAACGTCATTAGCTTCTTGGAAAGGACTACTAGCCTCACAGATCAGAGAAATGTTATAAATACCATTTGTTAGATTTTACAAAGTCTTCTAAGCCATTCTTATGGGAAAGATGGAAGTAAAGTTGTAAACGAGATAATACTATTTGGCCAGTGGATTCAGAAATGGCTAGATGGCAAGACCCAAATAACAGGTAATAATGATTCAATGACAGCTTGAAACAAAGTCTCTTGTGTAGTGCCACAAAGATTTATATTGGGCCTGCACTATTTAATATTTTTATTAATTTCTCTGGTAAATCATAGATATAATGCTCATCAAACTTAAAGCTGACAAATCTGGGAGGCATAGCTATATAGAGGTCAGGATTCAAAAGAAAAACAAAAACCTCAACAGGCCAGAGCATTGGATTAAACTGAATAAGATGAAATTTACTGAATACAAATGTACATCTTAGGATTTAAAAAATAATTCACAAGGGCAAATTAGAAAAGATGTAGTTAGATAGCATTTTATCTGAAAAAGCCCCAGGGGGAGGGGAGGGTTTAGTGGACTGCAAGTTCAATAATATGATATGGCAGCCAAAAAATTTAAAATCTTAAGCTATATCAAGACAGGTATAATGTCCCAAACTAGGGAAGGGTTAATGATGTGGGACTCTGCCCTGACCAGAGCACAACAGATCATAGTGATCAGTTCTAATAATTACAACCAAAAATGGAAAAGGCTTCCCCAGAAGGCAGTGAAAATCGTCTGGTAAAGCCTAGTCTTATCAGGAATTTTATAGAGGGAATTCCTGGGAGGTACTTTGTGAAGGAGACTTACATACCACGTAGCTTGGACTACATGGCCTTTAGGTATTATACAGTTCAGAGATTCTGTGGCCTCAGGTGGGGAAAATGCCTCCTTTACCACTCATAGCTATTCCTTTACGAAGCCCAGTCAATTCTATCTTTGTACTACCTCTTTCATCTATCACCACTGTAACTGATGTTAACACAAGCCCTACTGCTATCCACCTAGATTATTGCAATAACTTCTAATAATAATTCCAGCCTCTATTCTTTCTCCTTTATCTAATCTACCCTTCACATTGTTGTTAAATATTATCCCTAGGCAGAGATCTGGTCATGTCATTCTGCTCAATATGGATAAATGTCTCTCTACTGCCTACCAAATAAAGTTCAAATTCCAATGTGGAGAATTTAAGTTTTTTAAATAATTTGGTGTTACTCTACCTTTTCTAACTTGTCCTCTCTTTACTACTCACACTACCTTTCACTTCATGTGCCTTCCAGACTTTGCTTAAGCATTTCCCTATGCCTGGAAAGTTTCCTTGAATTAGATCTAAACTCCAACATGGTCACTAGATAAAGTCTCTATGATCTTCTCTCACCCCCAGCCTCCCACTCAGAGTTGAGAACAATCTCTCCACATCAGAACTCTGCTTATACTTCTGCTTACTTTATGAATTTATTTTTAATTCCTTTTTTATCATGAATGTAAGAAATAAACAAATATAAACATTTCAGTGTTAAAAAAAACAGAAAAAAGGTTGTATATAAAACAGTGAATCTGTACTTCATATAGATTTGTTAAAAGTGTTTTTATAATTAACATGACAGAATCAACACCGTCCTATTTGTTAAGTGTTGTGCCTGTGCGCCCCTCTGCTTTTGTCTAATTTTTTAAGTGTGTGCACTTACTATGTAATATTTTGTACTGGATATCTGTGTACATGTCATATTCTCCTATTCAACTATAAGCACCCTGAAATCTCTGGTCTTTTTTTCTTGCTCTTTCCTTTGTCCTCTCTTTACAGAGGCACCCTGTAGAATTAAAAGCCG